TTTATAAATATGGTTTTTTATATGAAATCAATATTAATTCTAAAGCATTTTTTGTAATTACCAAATTTATTCTATCAGCATAACATTTTTTTTAGAATGCTAGAATAGCAGATCATATCATTTTTCAAATAAAATAACAACATTTTTTGATTGAATAAACTTTCTAAGAGTAATAAATTTTTTGATACAAGTTCAATTTTTGTCATCATATTCTTAAAAATAAAAATCTTAGTATACTATTCTATCAATAATGAAACACTCACTAATAACAAAACAAACACAATTTGTAGATTATTCTAACTAAATATTGTACCAGAATATGTTATAACGTATAGTCTTATCATTATATTGTAAATTATTCTGTTAGTGCTTTCTTTTGTGAAGATCATTGATCATTGTTCGTCTTCATCCCATATGCCATCATCCAACTTTTAAGTACTTGATCATCATGTTACTTTCATACACTCTTTGAGAATAACTTCCTTAAAATCGAGCATTCTATGAGAACAAATTCTATGAAATCGAATATGTAAGAGTAACATTATATACATTTACCATGAGTATTCTAAATTATGTGTATTATAAAAGAATAAAACTATAGATTCTGATAGAATATGCTAGAGAATAAAGAAGTGTAGTTTATTCTTAAGTACACAATACAACATTCTAATAGAATGTGATGGATATTAAACCTTTTTATGTAAATTTGATCATAATGAAACTATAAAATTAAATGCAATTAATCAATTTACTTTTTAATGTCAAATAATCAACTATTTTGTGTACACACTCAAACATTCATCCATTCGATTTCCTAAACAACTCTAGAACGAAAATGATTGGGTGGGAAGAGTCAATTTTAATGATTTATCACATATGTTATTCTATATTAAGTTTCTTATATGACAGCTAAGGACTATTCATTCTATGAGAATAAATATTGCATAAAATATATGTTACTAGTAATTCTGAGAGATACATGTTATATGACATAATACATTCTTGCAGAATATGACATAATACATAGAATATGACATAATACATAGAATATATTTTAGAATACATAGAATACACAAAATATATAGAATATGGCAGAATACATAGAATATGATAGAATCTATGTCTAAGATTACTAGAAACTATGTTTTAAATATGAAATTAGTTAATTACCGAGAATTTGGCATGAAACATCTCATACGCATTCTATCAAAAACGTTCTATGCATTATCCAGTTGTCATAGCTTTAGCTTGAAAAATAATGTCAAATACCTTCAATAAGTTGTATTAAATACCAAACACCTTCACAACAAAAGAAATTGCACCAAAAGCAGGAGAAAGATTCATGAAATCATTGGAAATCGATTACACATGTTGAGATAATCAGAAGTCAAATGCAACTATACCGGACTTGAATTAAGAAAACGCATATCCGATTCAACTAGTGAATTTTCAGAACTGGGAGATCTTAATCGGAAAGAACTTTCCGGCTTGGTTCAAATAAAAAGAAAAGAAATACATCCAAACAGATTGCAATCATCGATGTAATTAGAAATGGCGTTCACAAAATCATTTATCCAAAACCAAATACATAAAATCGATTAAATAAAAAACGATTTCATTAAAAGAAAAAGAAACTTACGGGCTGATTGGACAAGAAATTTATCAGTGGTCATAGATCTAGAAACTTAATGATCGATAGTGGAGAGTTTAGGGCTCAAACTGTAGAGAGTTTGGGCTCAATGTGAATTGGAATTCGGCGCCATTAGGGTTCATGTTTGTATTGTGCATCAGGCTGATGATGGTCGACATGGTGGGTTTCTTCTCTTGGTATCATGAAGGAGTCGGTGGTGAAGATTGAAGAAACAGTTTAAGGAAGAATGGTGAGTGTTTTTCTAGGGTTAACAAACTAAAATTTCTAATTTAAGGGACATTAAATGCTTTAAATATTTACGAAATTAAATGTAGCCAAGATTACAATTATACCATTTTTTGATTTATTATTGAATTTATTTTTGCTTAATTCTGATTGGTTGTTAGAGGCACACAATACTTGTTGGAAATATTTGAACCTAACTAGCATGATGCCCGCACAATGCCGTGGCGAAAATAGTTTCTTTCAGCGAATATTCGTAAATCGGCTAGCGTTAGACTATGAAGAAAGTGTTTCAACAATTACTCGTCGTTAGACCGTGAAGAATGTGCCTTCGAAAAATTATTTTTCTATCAATAAATAGTTTTATTTCAGTTGTTAATTTCTTTAAAACACATATCGCTTAGAATTAACTTCACATGTACCCTTAGATATGCATCCTTCTAAACATGATAAATATATTATTATTGCATCACTTACAATGTTTAGTGTCACGGTTTTAATTCCAACACAACAACCTTTTGCCATTTCAAAACTCATGAACTTTTAGATAGAGTTTCATTATATACATAACTCTATCTTATAAGTGTTTATCAATATTATTTTTATTGTATGGTTAGATGAATGTCATACTTGATTACAGTTTTTAAATCAAATGCATCCATGTTGTGTAATATTCAAAACAAATAACACGACAAGTCTAAACATTTTCACTCATGCTTTATAACAAAACAAACAAATTTTAATAACAACTTTTCAAACAAAAAAAATTATATTACATTTCCAATTATCGGAGAATATTTTAGCCTATTTGATTCTTTCTGTTCAAACTTGTGATAAAAATACCCTAAGAATATTTTAAAATTTTGAAATATAAGTCTAAATTTTGAATTTAAAAAGTTTTTAATTGAAAATAGATTTTTAATATAAAAACCGTGATTGAAAGCCTTTCTTTTCAACTTTCGGTAAAAGTGGACAACTATTGTCTATCTTTCTTAAGTATCTAAAACCATAGCTTCTATTAACCATGCCTAAAGGTAATATAGTCTATTTATTATTGCAATTCATTCTTTTCTTTTTATTTTTGACATTCCAAAATTTTAAAGTTTATAATTATTATTATATAATTATATTATCAAAATCATTTATACATATATTAATTAATTTTTCTAACACGAAATATTTTAGAACTTACAAAGTTTTATTTTTACTGAATTTATATTTTCTATGCAAGTCACGACAAATCATAAGTTTTTGGAGGTTTTGGTGAATTATCCTATTTTTATCTTTGTTTAAATTAAAGAAAATAATAATTAAATATAAAACATAATTAATGTATATATTTATAAATTTATTTATATATTAACAGAAAATTAAATCACATAATAGCTATTAATACTAAAGTAAATATAGTTGTTATATTCTTATATTTAATACAATAAAAATTAAAACAAACAATAATATAAAATATGCGTAATATTAGTAAGCCTGTGATGACAAATGTCTACTTTTTATTATGAACTTATTTTTTATAAATCATCATTTTATTGATATAATAAAAACATTTTTTGGAAAAAATAATTAATACGTACAAAGCATTCTAGCAATATTTTTTATTAATGCTTTGATCTATCATCTTCTCCATCATGTTCATAACTTTTCTTGACAATGAACTAAATAAAAGCATTCTAGAAATTTTCTTTGCAAGTGACAGCACGTATATTGTCCTTTCACTTATATTTCTTTTTATTCGTTCACTATTTTGCAATAACTTTGCATTTTTAGTTCCATAATTAAACAACATGAAGCTCCTACAATAACAGACATATTACGATGGCAACAACCGTATTTTTCAAATCACTTTTAAAGAAACGTGAGCAAAACTCACAACAATATATATAATATTATATTCTATCATTTTCTCGACAATCATTTTAAGTTAATCTAATGAAATTCTTCATCTTCATAGTCTCTTTCTTCTTTCTAGTAAATTATCTTTCTCTTCTTTCTAGTAAATCACATTCCGTCAATAGTAAATCAAGACTAACATATTCTATAGATAGAAAATAACATATATGTAACCTATAAAGGAAAAATACCATACTATGAACATCGTGTAAAAATCAGAAAAAATGGTAAAATGCAAACCTTGATTTTTTTTTTTTTTTTTTTTTTTTTTTTTTTTTTTTTTTTTTTTTTGAAACTTCCGTTCTTTTTCTCAGATCTAATCTTCATGCATCTCACCACACGTTCTAGAATATAAGCAAAAGACAAATTACATATCTATAACATAAAAACAGTTTATAGCTTGCACATGAAAATAAGGCACACACATAGATCTAAATATAGAGACACACTTACCCATTGAATATGAGAACATTTTGTTCTTCATCTAGTTCTTTGGTAAAATCACAGAAAAACGAATTTCAATATGATTGTTGATATTTTGTAAGGATTCATGAATTAAATAGGCCCAAAATAGTAAATGTGGGTAATGAGGTATGTCACCTCCGCAATGATGGGCTCGGACAAGCCGAGGCCGAGGCCCGAATGAATGGACAATGCACTCAAGTTGGTGTGTCATGCAACCATATAGACCGAATTAGTGTGCTTTTGACAGAACCACTTAAGTGATCAAATACATCGTGAACGAGTATCCAAAGGTTTCAGATCAGAGAACCATGAGAAATGACATACAATAGTCTACAACAGACCAACGGTTTGTGACAGCTCATGTATGAAGAGTGACAAGACTCCAGACACATCCTAAGTACCGTTTTTGTACCCTGGGCCTTGGGCGCATTAATGACGTTGAAACGAACCTGCTCGGCCTCCCTCTATCGCCATTACCCCATGCATATGAGGTATAAAAGCAGATCAAGTCGACCGCAAAAGTGTATGATTCTCTCACCCTTTTCACACATTTCGCTCCAAAATCTCCACAATTTGCTTTTGACTTTGGCATCAGAGCGTTCTCTCGGGTCAGCTACCCTTTGAACGCCTACCATTTTGTTTTGTTTCTTAGATTCAAATTGCTTTGAGACGTGACCAACCGAGCAACTATCCTACTCTCAATACATTAGAAATCTGATATTCAACAAGTGGTGCCATCCGCCGGACACCGAAACAAATGGTTACCACCGGAAACACTTCCGATAACCCAATTATCGAAGCAAGCCCAATACCAAGAATGCAAGATTTGCAAGTGCAAGTAGAGACACCCCAGATGACTACTATCGTTAAAAAATGCACCGCAGTAGGTAATTCGAGGGATCGTGAAGATGAAAACAAGGAAATGGAGGAGTTTGAGGCCTTTAATAAGTACAAAGAAATGAAGAAACAATGTGAAGAGAAGGAAAACCAGAAGAGGAAAAGAAGTGAGAAGGATTGTAATCACATATATGTTCACTCAGATCAAACCAGCGGTTCTAGTGACAGATACAATAAGGGAAAAGATGAAGATACAAGAAGGGGTGATGAACGAGGGAAGAAAGTATTGTTGAGGGCAGAACATGCAAAGGAATACCATAAAGTGTTCGGAAGACTGAATTTTAGGTCCCCGTTTACTGACGAAATAAACAATACCCAATCCCGTTTGGCTTAAAGGGAAACATGGTGAAGCCTTATGACGACTCTGGAGACCCGGACGACCATGTATCATTTATTTGTTGAGTTTTTGAGATATTGAAACTGATTTGGCATGTTTGGTTATTTAAGGAAGCCTTTATAGGGTTTAATAGTTTTATGATTCCCTACGGTGCCTTTACGGTAGAAGTTCTTCATCGAGCTCTTCTAAGGCATTGGTTTTATACTTTTTGTAAATATTTTATGTTCCCTATAAATAATCATTAGGTTAGCTTTTTGAGGTAAGCTTTTTCCTGATTAGGGTTTCCTTTTATTAAGAACTTCATAAGGGGCGATGGAAAATCTTTTGTTTAGGAGAGATAGATTTTGTGTATAGCAGGCTGTGTCGATAGCTTCTACCCAGAAATAAAGTGGCATGTTCGCAAACGATAACATGGTTCTCGTAACTTCGCACAGAGACCGATTTCGCCTTTCAATGACCCCTTCCTGTTAAGGAGTGTAAGGATTTGAGAAGTTATGAGCTACTCCTTTTTCATTTAGAAATTCTTCAAACGCTTTCTTTTTAAGCTCCAAACCATTGTCAGTGCGAATGTTACGAACCAATTATCGTAGTTGAAGATCGATTTGCTTTATAAAGTCCTTGCGCTTAGGAGTGGCTTATGATTTCTCTATAAGAAAATAGACCCAGGTAAATCTAGAAAAATCATCAACAATAACTAAAATAAACTTGTTACCACCAATGTTCTCGATGACAGATGGATCACAAAGATCTATATGTAAAAGCTCAAGTGATTTCTCTATATGAACTCACCAACTTAATTGTTGACACTTTTTCAAAACTACTTGTATTTCTCAGGGATTCATTAATACATGTAAACCACAACTTTTGGGGAAGGAACGCTAAGGCGTCAAATTTCAAACTTAGTATCTCATCATAATGTAATTTCTTTTGAAACATGTATTACAATCAACTATGTAACTTTTTAAATTATGTTTATGACGGTTGTGTTTGCTTTCTTTACTATTTACTGAACTGTTTATGATACTACATGAAGTCATCCGCCCTCGAACGATTCCTCCGTTCTGGTTTGGGGGTGTGACAGATTGGTATCAAAGCATTGTTTATAGTGAACTAAGTATATCAAACCACATAAGATATACAAACTATAAATGCAAAGGGACTAAAACTCTCTTAAAAAAATCTTTCACACCAACCATACTTCATTAAATTAAAATGTTAGTTTTCATAAATGTACAAATACATGCATGAGTTTAATGTCATAGTTAGAACTATACAAAAGTATTAAGAGAAGTTGGACACTATGACTTAGCCTCAGAATATGTAATCAGATCTAGGATGAATATAGCCTGATCAACTATATTTATCTGAGATATGACCAATGTATGTCGGGGAATAGTCGTAGCGAGCAACAAGTCAAAAACTTGCCAAAGTAACACTAGAATCAAACCTACAAATTTAAATATTGTAGGAGTATTTATGACACAATAAAAAGATAACAAGCGAGTAAACATCGACATTTCGTTAGGACTAGGATCGTCAATCAAAATAAAATTAAGCTTATAAAAACCAAAAACCTTCACTGACAGGGCTATAATTACAAAGTGCATACTTTAATATTACACATGAGTGAGGTTGCATGGGCTTAGGATTCATGATTTCCCTTTAGGCTCTTTTCCTAGTTTGGATGTGGGCTTGGAGTGAAGCTACTTATGTAACGGTCCATTCAATCTCAATTGTATGTAAATCGTATACACTAGGTAATTATAGGAAGACTCGGTGTAGGTATTATCATAAAAATTTCTCTTTACACTCAAATTCTATATATAATTCTTTTAGTTCTATTCTCGATCAGAAAAATTGCAGGATTTCATATCCTTGGGGACCCCTAATGGAGGTTGGATTGAGGAGGATCCAGAAGAGGATCCCAAAGAGGTTTCTGAGGAAGATCCAAAAGAGGATATCGAAGAAGAGGTAGAGGAAGCGGATGATGAGGGAACTGACTCAGAGCCTGAGGTCTACAATCCTCCCCAAAAGGTACCAAACCCCCGATGGAACTTTCAGGGTCCGATGCCCCTCTGGGCTGTAGATCTGAAACGATGCATCAAGTAACAAGGACAACGTCCACACTACCACATGGGACAAGGCTTTTATAACCTCAGTAATGGAGGTTCGGCTGATAGAGCACTCCTTGTCATGGTTCGTCGCATCGCCAATCAAGGCGAGCAAGAAAGGGTAAACACCAACCAAATCATGGACATTGATGCTACTACCCAAATCACAACGGTACGTCTTCATCGCCTGGACGAAGAACATGATCGAACAATAGAGCACACCTTTTCCCTTCAGAAGGACATTAACATTGATAGAGCCGAGGTAAGGGAGTTCCAAAAAAACCAAGCCGCAATAGAGAGGCGCATCATCGATGATGAACATCAAGTAGCTCAAGCTCGGACTTCCACAACAACATACCATGGTCCGCAGCGTACCACCCGCTCGGAGTAGAGCGCGTACTTCTTGTGCTATGTATAGACTTATCAAGTGACCATTAGTGATACTCTTTCTTTCATGTATGTAAACCCGATGGATTGTGAGTACACAATTCGAGGGCCTGAATGCTGTAAAAATTTCCCATTTTCATTGATGTACTCTAGACCTGTGCTAAGGTCAAATTTTCCTGATCGATGTATCGAATATTAATATCAATGAGATTGAAACGCATTTATTATTTCATTGGGTATTTCATTAAGTTCTTAAAATACTAAGGAAATCATGTACTTTTTATTGTAGGTTTTCATTTCTTAATTAACTTATAAATTCGGTAATGTTTGGAACGTAACGAATATAATACTAAGACTTTCCATAATCATCTCTGAAGACTTATCAAGAATTTGTCTTTTATCTTATGGCAGAATCATGCCGCCAAGAAGGAATCACCGACGCTTCAATACCATAGGAAAACCAAAACCACCTCCACCACCACCCCGATCAATGGACAAAGCTATTTTCCGGGCTGCCGTAACAGATGATGTTACAACAACAATGGCCCAAATGATAAACAACGGGTCAGGATGAGGAATAAATAACTCTACTAATGGCCAACACCAAGGTCGTTCCCGGGAATGCACTTACAAGGACTTCACCAACAGCAAACTCATATCCTTTAATGGGATTGGTGGAGTTATGGCTCTATCCCAATGGATAAAGAAAACGGAAGCGGTATTTGAGATCTGCTCTTGCCAAGAAGGGAGCAAAGTAAAATTTACTGCCTATAATTTCTCCAAACGAGCCCTAACGTGGTGGAATGGTGTGACATCCCCATTTTCACGGCCAGAAAAGACCGATTTTGTTTATGATTTGTTTAAAAATCAGAGTAATATTTTAAATAAAAGTGTTGCGAAATTTATCCCAAAACATTATATGATAAAGATTTATCAAAAGCATTTCCGTAGAAATGTATTTCATTAAAAAGACTCGGGATGTCATGTTCGATACAGATCATAAAGATAAACAAATACAATATAGGACTTACTACATTATTCCGTATTTACATGCCTAAAATCCATTAATCTCTCATCGCAAGACATCACATCTATGCTCATGCGCCACTACCTGTAATACAAGAAACTGAGTGAGTCAGGATTGAGAGCCTGGTGAGCACATAGGGTTTTCAACCCACAATAAATAAGTTTAATAACTTTATCAAACCAAACAAACCCAATTACCCGTTCCCATTATCCTCACTTTACGTCCCTAAAACATCTAACACAAGGGACCTAGTCTAAGGACTATCATCGGGATGGACACTACTGCTAAGGGGATTCCTCAGCAATAAATGTCCTTAAGGCAACCATGTGGGGGATGGAGTACATCTGGTGAGCACACAGTTCAAATAAACACACAATTCAAATAAATACCTACAGGTTGCGAGCCTGCTAGTGTTCCACTGGACTGTCTAGAATAGTCCGTGGTCGTCATCTATACTCCGCTAGATGACTGGATCATCAATAACATCTATAACGAGGCCTCTCATTATTTTATTTTGTCACACAACAACTATTACATCTACCCATGTTTTACCCAACACATTTTGTAGATATAAAATACATATACAGTTTAAATCATTGAAAACATGTATAAAGCGTTCATCCAACATAGATAACAAGTATTCAGATAATATGCACACATAGCACGTAATTTATATAAAATACTTCATATCTATGTGTAAGCTGAAAGTAACTATGCACTCACCTGGTAAGGTGGTGACTTGGCACTCGGACAGCACTTCGTTAATTCTTAAAACAATTTTTTTTCCTTGACCAAAACCTAGTATTAATACCACTAGAATTTAGTTTTAACGTTAATCGCAACTAATTAATAGTCTAGCTATTATTACTATTATATAAGCGTTAAATAACACTCAATATAACTCATAATAATAGCCCAAATAATTATTTTAAGGTCCTAATAATGTTACTATAATTAAATAAAAGCTATATTAAATATAGTATAGGCGTAACTCACTTACAGCGGATTTTTATTAAAAACCGGGCTTCGCTGGAGCAGCGTTTCCGAGCCGAAAGCTTTTCTTCTCGGAGCCGTTGGGCGCTCCGGGGCTTTCTTCTCGTGATAGGGAGGTTCCCTAGACTTGGGAGGGGTTTATGGAGGTTAGAGAGAAGTTAGAGAGAGAAAGAAAGGTTTGAAGGTGTGAGGAAATTATGAAGAGTTCATCTCTTATTATAGGAATTGTATAGTAAAGTAGTCTCGAAGCTTCGTCCGTCACCTTTGCATATGAGCTCCGTTTTTGTCTGTCTTTTTACCGTTGAGTTCCTATTAATGAGATCTTCAACTTTCATTTAGACCTCCTTGGGTAATTCTCATTCTATCTCGGATTTACAAAACTATATTGAATTCGCCGCGCTCGAAAAGTAGAGACTAAGCTTCGTCCATAACTTTCGCATGCGAGCTCCGTTTTTGTCTGTCTTTTTACCGTTGATTTCCTATTAATGAGATCTTCAACTTTCATTTAGACATCGTTGGTTAATTCTCATTCTATCTCGGATTTACAAAACTGTATCGAATTCGCAACGCTCGAAGAGTAGGGACTAAGCTTCATCCATATCTTTCGCATACGAGCTCCGTTTTCGACTGTCTTTTTATCGTTTAACTCCTATTAAAAATATCTTAATTTATCGTTTAGATTATTTTGGCTAAAAATCGACCAATCTAAAATTCAGATTTCGGGTTGTGCTAAATCTTAGAAAAATCACAACTTCCTCATATGAAGTCAGATCTGGATGTTCTTTTTATGCACACTATCGGTTTAACATATTCTACAAATTTTGTTTAGATTGCTAAGGCTAAATCTCGCTCTATCGTAAATTCACTATTTACGCCTCCCGGTATCGTGTCGGTTCCGTCGCGAAACTTCGACGGGTCATAACTTCTTCATTATAACTCGGATTTCGACGCTCTTTATATGTATGGAAACCTTGTAACATATGCTAAAACTTGGTTGAAATTATTTATTCTTAATAATCTTTTGTCGAAAAGTCGTTTTCGACCCCTATTGCCTCTAAATTGACTAGCCCGGATCTACGGGCATTACAATTATCTCCCCCTTAGGATGATTACGTCCCGGAATCATCAACGAAACAGGATTGTATCTTCATCCTAGGTAATAACTGTAACTTCTATGTTGCTTCGAACGAGTATCTAACTCTTGGACTCCTTGATTGCAGGCGGTGCTCGGTCTTGCACCTGCTCGTTAGACTTTTAATCATGACCTTCGTGTCACAACATCATTCTTTATTAGAGACTCCTTCTTCTTCTTCTTAACAAACTTAGGATAATTTAATTTGATTACTACAATTGACCGATGTGTCATATTCTAATGACCTATCATCGTATGTAGCAATGCTTAGACTTAGGTTTCGTAGAGTCAAATTCCGGAATGGAATATGCCTTCCTTCATCGTCTAATGTGATATAATCACATTTTAACATGTAGCATTTCTAGCTACCAACTTCTTTAACAACGAGCATGATACTTTTATTGATCGCTTTGATTTCAATCGTTTGGTTTAAGTCGGACGCTACATCAAACTTGGTTCTCTAAACCATGTAACCTACTCATCGTAGTTGGACTCAATGTGATATGACCACTAGGGTCGGGATAACAACAATCTTCTTAGTCATTACCGAAACATTGGTAACGAAATACTTGAATAAAACAAAATCAATTACTAGTTTCTTGGTAACCTTGTGACTTTCTCTGATCCAAGTGTGAGTCCTGTGCTTCCGGTAGTATAGGCCTCTACTACCTTTCACACCTACTCATACTCGTCCCAAGTATTGTCTCGTAGTTTTCCAAGTCACTATACAAGAAAATCACATAGAAACTTAACACATAAAATATCAAAACGAAGGTTTTATATTATTCCTTGAAACGATTAAATGGGTGTTCAAGTTCACCCTAGATTATGCCTCTAATAGGCTACACCATATGATACTATCTACATGGCTTCTTCATAACTTGATCTCCATGTATCCATCCTCACTCTTGATTCCTTGCATCGTCAGCTGCATCGTCTAGGATCATATGGAATGCTCTTGCCTTTGGTTTTGACGGAATGTTTGGTCTTGCCGCCTCTTTCTTTTTCGGGCAATCCTTAGCAACATGCCCTTCTTCAAGGCATTCATAACACACCCTTTTTCTAGCGGTGCACTCGTTGGCTTAATGTCCGGTCTTCCCACACTTGTAGTAAGTCACTTCTTTGCTACATTTCCCAAAGTGATTCTTCTTGCACTTCTCGCACCATTTCACTTTGTTTCCTCCTCCACTAAACTCCTTTAAGCTAGACTTGATCTTCTTTTTGGGCCTCGTAGACCCCTCAAACTTCCTCTTTTCGCCAACCTCAATCTTGTTGGCAGCTCTTCCCTTAATCATATCTTCCACAGACTTGGTAGCCCAAATAGCTGCCTCTAGAGTAGGTGCCTGATGCACTGGCACCGCGTACTCCCATGGAAGTCCCTTTGCGTACTTGTCGATTTTTGTCAGCTCATCTGGAACAAGACGTAAGGCGAACTCCATCTTCTCTGTGAAGTTGTTGGTGTATTCATCAATTGACATGCTTCCTTTCTTCAAGGTCAGGAACTGCTTCTCTATCTCAAGTAAGTTTTGAGCTTAGCAGTACTTTCGTTTAAATTACACTAGAAACTCTGTCCATGCCAGTTGCAGGGGCTCATTGGGGCTCAAAGTCTTCCCTAGGGTATTCCACCAGCGAACAATGCCTCCTCTGAATTGACGTACTGCAAATGTGGTTTGTAGCTTGCCTTTGCAACCAATGTCATGAAGGCCAATTCCATCTCTGAGATCCAATCCATGACCCCGATAAGATCTTCGTTCCCAGTGAAAGTCGATGGCTTGCAAGTTAGAATATCTTTGTACTTGCATCCATTCCTTTCGAATCCTTCATCATGATTGTTCCTCCTAATCATCGGGGG